ATATATATATATATATATATAAATATATATATATATATATATATACATCTATATCTATATATATAAAGTTGTATTATCTGGCTGTGCTGTCTCTCTGTTTGTTTTTCCGATCATAACTCAGGAATCCCTGGACCGATTTGCCTCAAATTTTAATTGGGGAACTCGGAAGACCCATAGGGATGTTCTCATTTGGGTTTGAAGATTATATGGGTTACCTTTTTAGGGAAAATACAGTTTCCAGTTAAACCCATAAAATTGTGGAACAGGAAGATAATTGCAGTGAAGATAGCCTAAATATCGTCGTCCTATACTGGAATTATATAAGTCTCACCGTATGATATCAAACCTGTATGATATTGAACCTATATATTTTTAGTAATATCTTATCTCTATGTTAATATCTTAAATTATGTATTAACATCTAAAGATTAAACTTCTCTGTTAATATGTGTATATATTATTAGGGTTACCGGTTAAGTTAAAACAATTATTCTATTATTAATATGTTGAACTATGCTCCTGGTAGAACAAGTGAAAGAAGAAAAACTTATCACGAATATAATCCATATCAGCCCAAACAGTACAACAGGTAGGTTCTATTTTTATTCAAAACGTTTTTTCGTTAATTTTAGTTTTATTTTTATTTTTTAATCATATAGTTTAGGAAATATTGTTACCAATAACATTTTAATTTGATTGATTTGATCAAATTTATTTTTGTTCTAACATCTATTTTTAGAATTTTTCTAAAATCAATTATTTATTTCAAAATACGGAAAATTTTTATTTCGAAATTCGATTTTTTTTTCTCTGAAAATTCGATTCATGCAAATTCCCCGGGCAACACCGGGAACTTCAGATAGTATTTAATATTTTTAATAAATCGTTTTCATAATTTTTTTTAGTCCCTCAGCCGACCTGGGACCTTTTAACCACGAACCCTATACAACTAAACTATACAGGAAATAAATTTTATGGAAATCACTATTTTTTAATTTTTTAATTGAGTTGCATTACAAGGATATTTTTATAACGGTTTCAATGTTAAATGTTTGAATTCCCGCTTGAATCTGATTTCTAGAAATTTCCCTAGAATTTATAATATTTAGAGATTATATAAATTATTATAAAAGGACATATGGTGACGTAAACACCAATACTGACCTTGAACCAATAGAACCATTATACTTCAGGAATACAACCAAACCAAACCAAATTAAATCAATTCAAATCATTTCAAATCAATTCAAATCAATTCAAACCGATTCAAATCAATGCAAATCAATTCAAATCAATTCAAACCAAATTAAATCAATTCAAATCAATTCAAATCAAGTCAAACCAAATTAAATCAATTCAAATCAATGAATCAAACCAAAGCAAACCTATCCAAACCAACTCAATTTAAATCAATAAATCAATTTAATCAAACCAAACTAAATTATTTTAATCTTGACCGAAAGAGATTAATTTAAACCGTACCAAATTTAAATCAATTTTATGTAAACTAAAAGAAATCTATTTAAATCAAACCAAACTAAACTAAATCAATCCTATACAATGAAGTCAATCCAAATCATTTTAATTGATCAATTTGACTCAAACCAAATAACTAGATTTAATCCAAACTAACCTTATTTAATTTGATTCATAGGAAACTAAATTCCATTTAAGTTGATACGATACGGGTCACACTCACCAGTTTTTTGTTGTTTTAAACAAACAAAAATTAAGGCATGAATAAAGTATAAATAATTTATTTAATTCATGACGTAATTTTTACAATATACAAATATTCCTCTTTATTTTTATTTGGTTAAGAGGTGTGGTTCCTAAAAACGCTATTTTAAACCTTTTTTTGTAGAGAACGGTATGCCCGATTAACATCGATACCTTTACTTAAACTGTTAATAACAATGAGGAGGATATTGTCGTCTTCTTATTTAGAAAAGTGATTTATTCTTACAAATTCTTTTTCCGTCGTGCATACTTGTCCTTAATTGTCACTCTACAATTAGAAATATTCAAATTTTAGATCAGAAAACATAGATTTCTCATATCTTTAAGGCACGTGTTTTTTAAGAGTTTGAATACTAGATTTAATTACATGAAAAATACTGATTACTGAATACTTCTAAATCTTCACATGGCGTCTGATTTGATCTAAATGTCAGGGATACATGGGGAGGGGGAGGGCATCGGGGAAAATATAAAGAAAGTTGGACCAAGACGCCGAGATAGATAGATAGATGGACAGATAAACTTGAACATATGTTTAGTTGGAACTATTGTATACTAACTGTACACTGTTATCTAATAATGATAATAATAATACCGGGACCTATTATAGTTTTTTTTTTATCTCCATCTATATTTTACAATGTTTCTGAAAAAAAATCTATAATTTTCTGGATTGTCAAATATACCTTCTTTGCCAAACTTGGTTTATTATTTCAAACCAAAACCAGGGGCACATGTATATGGTATATTGATATCTATATTTGTATCTATCTATCTATCTATTTATCTATCTTTCTGTCTATCTTTCTATATCTATTTATCTGTATATTAATAAATTCATCTAACTAGTTATCTACCTATCTACCTATCTTATCTATATCTATACCTAACTTGAAAAGATTAAATTTAAAATGTAGATCTTATAAATAGGTATTGAATAACAATTATTCTCAAAGTGGCAAATTATTCTAAAAATCTAATTAACTTTGGCCCTGTTGATTAAAGACAATACCCATAATAAATATTTATAAGATTGTCATTTCCTTTTTTTTTCTTTCAAAATAGATTTTTTCAATGTTTTTTCAATGTTTTGGTTGAATTTATAGTGACATTGCAAACATTCATAAAGAAGAGAAGCCTACTCATATCAATGGTGTGGCCCCGAAGCATGCTGGGGCAACTCAAGGGCAAGTCAGTGCGGCTCAAGGACTTGTCACTGTGGCTCAGGAGGGTAGTATAGCTTATGATGTTTCAAGCCATACTGAACACTCAACCTACAAGGTAGGCATCTTTTAATGTCATTTGCTCTATTAAAATAGTAAAGAAAAGTAGTATTGAAAACATCAGAATAATAAATATAATGTACACCTTTTCTCAATCCTTGGAATTCCAAACATGGATTTTTTTAAATCAACCAACAGTAATGCATATCCTTGTCATTTTAAAGGGACAGACCGGCTATGTAAGGTAGTTAAACTGAGTATGCAGCAGTGTTGTGGACAAATTCTTTAGGATTCATTTGAGACGTATAAAACTTTTCCACGTTGTATAATTACTCAGTTTGAGTGCATAGTCGACGTTCAAAATCAAGAATTTTTGTGGTTACATTTTCAGAATCGGGTTTCTTTTAAATTATTAAATAACAACGACGAAAAGTAAAGTAAAAAATATACATTAAACTAATTAGATGGTTAGGAACATATTTCTCAAAAGAAATTTGTCAATAAATCAATGCTAGAATCAATTATTTCGTTTTCATCATTATATTGAATTTCTTATTTTCAATGAAATTATTCGTAGATTTTTACAAATTCTTCAAATGTCGTCTTTTCAATGATAATTCCAGAAAATCTGCAGAAAATCTTTGTGAATAATGAGAGACTATAATAATGAGAAAATAGAAACTAATAACTGAATAAGATTACTTATTTTCGATGATAAGAGTTAATTTTTCTTTTCTCAACCTGTTTCTAAACAACTATTTAGTTTACTGTACAGTTTTGTTTACATTTTTTGTCTTCGTTATTTAATAATAAAAAACAATTTTGAAAACGTATCCACCCAAAAGTACGATTTTGAACGTCGACTTTGGCTCAAACTCAAGATTTACAAATCTTTAAAAAGTTTTATATGTCTCGAATAAATCCTAAAGAATTTTTCCACACACTATATACTCAGTTCAACTACCTTGCATAGCCGATCTGTCCCTTTAAAGATAAATATGATTTTTGAAATCTGTTCCTTTACGCGCCCAGCTGTTGTGGATTCATCAATTTATTTGGTGTCGGTGATTAAAGATGTGAAACTCGACATGGTGTTTTTATAATTTCTAAATACCTTCTGATCACTTAATCAGACAATTAAAATGATTTGGAAACATTTGTTAAATACTTTGAAAATTTAAACACTTTAAACATTTCAAAAGAGAATTGGAAAAATCAAACATTGAAAATAACAAGGAAATACAGCTGTATATTTACACATATATTTATATAATAAACCGCGGGAGTAACTAGTAGTAATATTTTAAACCCAGACAAGGCCTGGTTATCCAGCTAGTACACAATAAATTCATAAAAAGTTGTTAATTTTATAAATAGATTTTTAGATATATTCTAAGAAAAAAGTAATTGATAAAAATATTTTAGCTTAGAACTGAAAAGGAATTGAGTCAAACTTTCGGTCATATCTTAGCAACTGAAAAGTGCAAACCTTTGATATTTCAAACTTAGATTATGTGATCTAGCAGAAATCAAAGTTTGAAATATCTAAGGTCTACGGCATTGGGTTGCAAATATATAGGGATTAGAAAATCTGAGTTTGTGGCAAGGACTCAAATCCTTTATATATGATAAAATACTATATTTTATATTATTTATATTATTCATATTATTTAGACTCCTCAATATTCCTATAAGCTGGTTACAACCTCGCCCCCAGAGGTTAAAGCACTTCCACGGCGTCCGTCCAAGGTGATTTTGACTTACAACAAAGGAAATTGACCCCAGAAAAGATGTTCCCGACATCGATACTCATATATCGTCATAAACATGAATTGTAAATTTCGTGGATTTTTGTTAACCGTGATTTTTCTGTCGGAACCTCTGTAATTTAAAAAAAGAATTATCGATGATTGTGGTCTCTAGGAACATAATTGAAAAATGATATCTGCGTTGTTGAGTTCCTAATCCTAAAATTTGGGATATTGTGTGTGTGTTTTAATTTTGAGAACAGTCCCTATAAAAGACCTCTATTCTTTTATTTGCAGAAGTACGAGACAACATATCAGAATTCTGCTTCTCCATCTAAACCTACTTTTATACCATCTCTTCATCAAACACAAAACTATTCTCTTCCCTTCACATCTTCTATCAAATATACATCATCAACAACATCCAAACCTTTGTCAACAACTTCTATAACAACTACAGAAGAGGCTACTATAACAACTAGAAAGGCATCTATTACAGAGCCAACTACAGCACGGCCTACAACAGCTACAGCATCAACTTCTGCAAGAACAACTAGGCTATCCACTGCTACTACAGAAAGATCTACTACTTTAGAAGTATCTAGTACAACCGAAAGATATGCTACTTTAGAAGAATCTACGACTTCTGTTACAAGCTCTACTACTGTAGAGGAATCTGGTAAGCCTGGATCAGCATATACATACAAATTATCTTCAGGACCATCTGCTATACGAACCCTTCCTCCATCATCTCACTTACATCTAGACGCTCGATATCAACCAATCCATGACCACCAATATCAAGAGCCAAACTCTGGTTATCTCTCACATTTAAATCCTCAAGGACTCCCTCAGTATCCCTCCTACCCATCCCAACAGGAGCATCATTATCAGCAACCACCAAACTCAGGTTACTTGCCTCCTGAGGATCATCAACGTCAAGAAACAAGCCCGCTGTTTCTTCCTCCGCTAGACCAACCTTCTAGCTCCAGTTACCTTCCTCCTCCAGAGTATCAACAGCCAAGTCATGATTACCTTCTACCTCCGGAGCATACTGAACACGCTCCAAGTCATAGCTATCTCCCTCCTAAAGAACATCATGAGCACCCTCCAAATCATGACTATCTACCTCCTCAAGAACAACATATACAAGCTCCAAATCATGGTTATTTACCTCCTCAAAGTTCTTATAATTCACCTTCACTAACTGATCAACCGGAATTAGCTGTTCATGGTACACCAGGACAAAGCTACCTGCCTCCAACTCTAAGCCAATCCTACCTTCCTCCCTCAAAGTATCAACTTCCACCAAGTAAATCGTATCTTCCTCCTCCCTCATACCTACCACCTTTAGAAACAGACATATTGCCACACATTGATGATTTCCATGCACAAGTAAAAGATAAAATTCAAAGCCTCCATGAATTTTCAAGAAATAATCACCCCCTTGGAGAACCTGTACCCACAACCCAAGACAAGTACCCTAGTCCACCCATTATTTCTGAAAATCATGCCCAAGAGGATCAACCCAAAGATCTGTATACAGAAGTCTACTCAACAATCTATCCGCATGGATATCCACCGCAATTCCCAGAACAGCAATATCATCAGGAACTTCCTCAATACAGAGAAGAAGAACATGTTCCCTACAAATATTACAATCCAGAATCAAAGGAGACAGTTTATGTCCATGTTGGGCATCTAGATGATCATAAGAACGTTGAAGCTGGCACAACAGATCCAATTCATTACAGCAACAGGAAAGCTCTAGATGATGCTCTAAAGAATTTGAGTCCAGAGAAAAGAGTAATAACAGTTTCTGAGCCACCAAAATTTCAACGACTTGAGTCAAAATCAACAACTTCCAATATTGAAGGATTATCTTCTTCAACCACTGTACTTCCTACAGATTCATCAGCTGCTCCTGCATCTGCTTCTACAAAAACTTCAACTTTTACCCCAACTTCAACGACAACAACAACCAAAAAGACTGTAACTGCTGAAAGCTCCATCCCACCCCGTACTGCTCGATCATCTACTCCTCCTCCTACATCACCTGAACCTACTCCAACCCCATTAACATCTGCTTCATCACAGATGAATAGGTTTGCCTTGGGTGGAAGCACTAATGATAACTTTATGTTTGGACCTCAGACAAAACCATCAATAGAAAAGATCTCTTCAGAAGATAATATTTTCAGGTAATCTAACAACCAATATATTATATAATAGGAAATTAAAAATACTAATGAACTAGGATCAAATTATACTGTCTTTAGGGAAGAAACCCTGAAAAATGAAAATGTTGAAAAAGGAAAAATTATCCCTCGAAGTTTTGAACCCCCAGAAGTCTCTTCTCCCTCTGTAGCTCTACCCAGTAACAAGATAAACATTAATACTGTAGAGAACTCTGAAATCATTGGAGACACAGGTAGCTTTATTTGAGACATTTATGAATAGAGAGTTAAATGGATTCTAAATGTAAATTTAAGTGAGCCGCAGCTCAGAGCTGGTTAGAGAATTTTTACAGATTTTTTAAACAAAGATGATCGATATTAGGGCAAAATTGGTTGTCCTACGATGGCATTTTAAAATGAAGGTACTCTTAAAAATAGAATCTCTCTAAATCCTCCAAAAAATGATCATATTTGATTTTTTTTAGTTTTTAACTTAAAATCATAATTTGATATGTGTTGGCAAGATATTTTGTTGTTAAGAAGTTATCCGGAGCCACACCCCCTTCGGACACAGTTACAGGGTAACCACGCCCTCTTCCACTGTGTTTGTTCAGAGAACATTTGGAATTTCCCAGGTACTTTTATTTATTCAGGTCAAATATAATTCAAAACGTTGGCCATTTTGACCTGAACTTTTATTGAACTTCATGGGGGTTAAAATTTTTATCAGACCAATCTGGAGTGGTGCAGAATATAAAATATTTTACCCCAATAGCTTTGATTTTTAAAATTTTAAAAATTTCAATAATGAAAAAAAGGAAAATGTTATTTTTATAAATATTTAGATATATTGAATATTGTCTGATGTAAAGTATCGTCGGTTGATGAATACCGACGTCATGTCTGCTAAGAGTGCTAGTACATTGACTAATGTATAGTATCGTCGGTTGATATATACTGACTTCATGTCTGCTAAGAGTGCTAGTACATTGACTAATGTATAGTATCGTCGGTTGATAAATACCGACGTCATGTCTGCTAAGAGTGCTAATATATTGTCTAATGTATAGTATCGTCGGTTGATAAATACCGATTTCATGTCTGCTAAGAGTGCTAGTATATTGTCTGATGTAAAGTATTGTCGGTTGATAAATACCGACGTCATGTCTGTTAAGAGTGCTAATATATTGTCTGATGTAAAGTATCGTCGGTTGATAAATACCGACGTCATGTCTGTTAAGAGTGCTAATATATTGTCTAATGTATAGTATTGTCGGTTGATAAATACCGACTTCATGTCTGCTAAGAGTGCTAGTACATTGTCTAATGTATAGTATCGTCGGTTGATAAATACCGACTTCATGTCTGCTAAGAGTGCTAGTACATTGTCTAATGTATAGTATTGTCGGTTGATAAATACCGACTTCATGTCTGCTAAGAGTGCTAGTACATTGTCTAATGTTTAGTATTGTCGGTTGATAAAAACCGACGTCATGTCTGTTAAGAGTGCTAGTATATTGTCTAATGTATAGTATCGTCGGTTGATAAATACCGAAGTCATGTGTCTGCTAAGAGTGCTAATATATTGTCAAATGTATAGTATCGTCGGTTGATAAATACCGACTTCATGTCTGCTAAGAGTGCTAGTACATTGTCTAATGTATAGTATTGTCGGTTGATAAATACCGACGTCATTTCTGTTAAGAGTGCTAATATATTGTCTGATGTAAAGTATCGTCGGTTGATAAATACCGACGTCATGTCTGCTAAGAGTGCTAGTACATTGACTAATGTAAAGTATCGTCGGTTGATAAATACCGACGTCATGTCTGCTATGAGTGCTTGTGCATTGTCTGATGTATAGTATCGTCGGTTGATAAATACTGACTTCATGTCTGCTAAGAGTGCTAGTACATTGACTAATGTATAGTATCGTCGGTTGATAAATACCGACGTCATGTCTTCTAAGAGTGCTTGTATATTGCTTATTATTTACACCAACAATAGATGTCAGGGTTCACACTCTTTATACAAAGCAAAGAGTAAATGGATTTCTTTCAGATATTGTAAAGTTTGACAAGGGTCACTTTTAACTACTCACGTTTTCATCAACAATTGGGCTTCAAGTTGAAGAAATATAAATACTTGGATTTTAGGACTAAATAGGTTTATGTAACTTTTTGAAGACTATTTTTTTTTAAACCTTTCAAAATAGTATAACCTGCAGTAAAATTACTTATTTTAAAATTATAATTCATATTTTCTTGCTCTTGTTTTATCTAATTTATGAATTTTTAGCCGATAAAGCGAGAGCTTGATCTGGGTGGACAGAATACTAGGTTTAACCTGGTACAGGATGATAGGGTTAATGTTGTTCAAGAGGATACAAGCGTATTCAACTCTTTGAAGAATGCTGTCGATGTTCTAACCAGATCTTCTCTAGGTACAGGGTGTCCCAAAAAACATGGGAATTCAGTGACGAATTCGATATCGTCTTTGTTATGATTTAGCATTGTAATACCTAATTTCAAAAGCTATAATATTATTATGTCTGCTAGAGTTTATTTTATGAAAAGGGTAAAATAATTCAAAGATGTGTCTATAATGTCTCCGCAAGATGAACAGTGAATACGGACAAGTTTACTCTGTTTGTATACTGCAATTTTCTTGTTTTACTAAGTACAACCATATGCAGTCAAAACATAAACAAACAAAATGTGAACATAGCAGACGAAACTCTTACAGATTACAGCTTTCTCAGTAGGTATCACTATACTAAATCAAAGAATTATTTGCCAAGACGATATTGAATTCGTCACTGAATTCCCATGTTTATTGGGACACCCTGTACATTAATAATCCCTGTAATAAAAACAAATCACTAGACATTATGCTTGACTACAAAAACGTGTACAAAACTTAAATTTAATTCTTGTTTGTTATTTTAGTTTGATATTTAGGTTATGTTAACCTCACCCCATTGGCATACTTTAATGAAAACTCTCAAGGTAAAAAGAAAAAAATATAAAAACAATTAAAATAAAATTTTCACTTAAATTTAGTAATAACTTATCTAGAAGAAAATTTGTTGACTCTTCCCGAGTTTGAACATTTCACGACAAAGAAAAGTGTTAAACAAACCTCAGATGATCAAAGTAACATCACCATTAATGACGACCATTCCATTCAAGTCAGTTCGGATCAGCTGTCTACAACCGGTTCTTTTACAAATGGCGTCAGTACTGGCACGACAGAGGGTACAACCAAGGACAGTACAAAGATTACAGAGAGTGCATCGAGCACAGGAAGATCAGGAAGTTCAATGAGTACACCAAGCACAGGAAGTACAGCAAGTACCGGAAATGCATGGAGCACGTTAAGCTTTGGTAGTGCAAGTACTCAAAATGTTTATGATTCCCAAAACATTGATAAAATTCTCGATGTAATGAAGAATGTCAGGTAATTTAACAATATATAAGTTTAATTAATTTTCATACAATCATTATCTTATTTTTTAAATACTCGAAATACCCCATTTTGAGGAATTATGGAAACAGCTAAGTCAGTCTTACCACATAAAGATGTTCCTAAGAGCCAGAATGTTCGACACCGTCCGTCAAAATGATTATTGTGAAATGTTTTTTGAAATAAACAAAAAAAACGTTTATTGTTAATCTCGGGCTAATCATCGTTTATTTTTTTAATTAAGTATTCACAAGTTTTTTTTGAATATGAAATATTTTCTCAAATATGACCAAAAATTATAGTGAAATTTAGGAATTTACAAATTTACTTTAAAACTAAATGATTATTTGGACGGAAATTATCAAACATCATAATCTGCATCGTACAATTTGGTGAGACACTGGTTTGTATCTTTAGGCCTCTACAATTTCTCTAAAAAAGGGGAATTTATAATTTTAGATATTTAAACAACACTCTGAGAAATTCAAAATTTAATTTTATATTTTTTGAAGCGCCGGAGCCAAATTCAACTTAGATGCTTATGCCTTAAAATTTTGATAAATGATACTTTTCATGCGGGAAAGTTTGAAGAATAATGCTACTAAGTTGAATTTTGCTTTAATGCTAAAACAAATTTAGTAAGATGAAAATTTTACTTCTTAGAGTGAACCCCATAAACCCTCCAAAACGTCTTAACCAACCGTAAGTGATGAATCGCCTAAAATTTCCATATTTAAGAAGTGTTTACGAAATGTTTAAGTAAACTAAAACCCCAAAATTTAAAAAGTGTTTAATAAACGTTTACCAGGGAACTAGTGATGAAAGTGAAACTATCACAAATCCACAAAAATCATGTACAACGAAGGTATCCCCGCACACTATGTACATTGTACATTGTACAAACACAGTCACACATGTACATGAACTCATGTTCATCTATTGTACGCTTGAACACTAAATTGTAACCACAGTAGGTTTACTGCATATTTTACTTAAATTCTCACGTTGTATTGCATTAACTTATGAGCTGCAGAATTAGAAAGGAACTGAGTCTTTGCCACAAACTCAAATTTTCTCATCCCTATATTTTTACAACCAGATTGTGGAAACCTTTGATTTTTAAAACTTAAATTACTTGATCTAATTGTATTCATAGTTTTCTAAGGTCTACGGCAGTGGGGGATGATTTGTGGCTTAAATACTCAATTTCTATTGTTACACCCTGAATTACTATTATTTGTATTCCGAAAAATCATTAAATTACTTCTTTTGGATTTGAAGGAAAGCCCAAATTGATGCAGAATATAATCAAAATCACTTTTGACATTTTTTGTTTGGCAAATCTACGATGGTAGGCGAATATATCGATATAATGAAGACGACAATCAATTTCAATTTTGATTCATATTAAGCTTGTAAACTTGTAATTGGAAAAAGCTTGTTAACAATAAAAACTTAATTAAAAAGTCGTCTTCATTATATTGATATAATCGCCTACCACTGTATTTTAAAATATGTAATCCAAAATCTTTAGCAAATTTTTTTTAAATTTCACCAGTAGATTTACAACAACACGATTTGCTAAAGGAGTTGAGTGTTTGGCACAAACTCTGATTTTCTAATCTCTATATCTTTGTAACCCAATGTCGTAGACCTTAGATATTTCAAACTATTAATTCTTATAGATAAAATAATCTAAGTTTGAAATATCAATGGTTTGGACCATCAGGTTGCAAAGATATTGGGATCAGAAGATTTGAGTTTGTGGCAAAAACTCAATTCCTTTATTTTGAAACGCTTGCATCTTTATCTGCAAATGCTTCTCAGTCCATGCACGCGCGCTTAAAGGGAATGATGCACGGCAGAGAGGGGTTGTTGAAGGGGGGAAAGTAGTATTGTAGAATCGGTCTAAGAATATACAAACAAAGCATTGGGCTTTTTATAGGCCAATTATGTGTTTTTATTAGATTTACGTTTGTTGAGGACGAGCAAAATCTTTATTAAAATTATTTAGAAATGTATTTTTGCTTTAGGAAGGAAAAAATATAAATTTTTACAGATTGTTATAAAGAAATTAAAACCTTGTTATTGGAAATAAGAAATTTGTAAGATTCTTTTAAGCGCGACCAACTCTTTCTTTTTTAAATATTTTCACTTTTCATTGATATTACAATTTTGGAATAAAAACATTTGTTCACAGAGGAATGTCGTTTCTATATGTTTTTGGTCCTTTAGTTACTTAAAGGGACTGTATAAGTGTGATTTCAATTGAACCACCATGCAAAGATTTACATTGGTACCATACCTTTAACTGCTTATCGAGTACAGCGAGCTCTTTGCTTTAATCATTCCTGTAAAACACGGTGTACGCTGCGTTAGTGTGAACTCAACACAGTTGACACGTCCTTGTGTTTCTTGACATCACCAAATATTTCACATTTAAAGCGGTTTCCAGAAACTCAAAGAAATATATATTTTCTGCCAATTCTAGAAAGTCAATATTGATATTTTTAAAACTTAAAACGTCTTGCAAACAAATGTTTCTATAATCAAAAGCGTTTTCATAAACATATAAGTAAGAATAATCTCGAAAACCTTGATCGTTCAAATGTTTTTGGAGTACGTTATGAATCGGGCATTGCCATTTTTTAATGGAGAGTCACTTGAATTTACGCTTTTACTAAGTTGCTGTCCATTTAAGCTTAAACTTGTTTTGGGATACCCATGGTGGAGATTCTCTAAAATTGTTTAGGGAGACACCTGTTGGAGATTCTATAAACTTGTTTAGGAAGACGCCGGGTGGAGATTCTCTAAACTTGTTTTCTCTAAACTTGTTTAGGGAGACCCCTGGTGGAGATTCTCTAAACTTGTTTTGGGAGACACCTAGTGGAGATTCTCTAAGATTAAACTTATTTAGGGAGACATCTGGTGGAGATTCTCTAAGATTAAACGAATCTGAATTAAACCAACTAATAGGAAAGCATTCATCTTAAGACTAGCAAACTTTTAAATTAATGTATATTTTGGTCTACGTATTCTTTACACGATTTTCTTCTGTATCAGAAAGCGATTTTTTTGCCAAAATTTGCATTTTTTTATATGTCAATGCCATTAGCATCTTTACAGTAGCTTTCTTTAAAAAGTACAAAATAACAAAAATAAAATATTTTAACAAATATTAACATCTAAAAATATTTAATGCTTGATATTCCTAGTTGAGAACTATTTCAGTCAATCTACTGAGACTGATGTTGACCAGATAACTCAGAAATCCAAATATTTTGAGGAGGTAAACTTTTATATTTATATCATACTAAACAGCCTGAAACAATTACATGACTGGGTAGACTTTGAAGTGTCGTTAGCAATAGTTTCGAAGGAGTAATTGACAATATTCTAATATGTATATTATATAATACGGAGTAAGAATGTGTTTATTTTAGTTCATATTGGGTATACTGCACAGTTTCCAGCACAAACTAACCCCAAGAATAGGCAGTTTACTTAATTTTTACGCTTTTAAAAACTGTTTCGTCCTTTAGTAAAATGCGTAATTTCTTTTAAATGGAGCGTTGGCAAACCAAAAGAATAAATAGGTATTCTATAATGGTATTCTATAATGGGTACATATTCTAGTAGAAAAACCAATATGTTCAATCAAATAAAGTTCTCTTTACAAATACATATAAATATATATAAATATATTCTTTTGTAAATATATAAAAATATAAATATATATAAACCAGCTGAAGTGCCCGGCGTTGTCTGTGGAATTTTAAAAAATCGAATTTTGAAAAAAAAATGAATTTTTAAAAGAATAAAATAATTTCGAATCATGAATTTTTTTAGCCCTTGTCAACCCCGGGGTACTCAAGGGTTCCCTCAACATATTTCGGCCCATTCGGTCCAGCCGTTTGACCGGCTATAGGGAACATATATACGAATGTCTTGTTTTATTATATACCTAAATATATGCATATATTCAAAATAAAAAAGCTAAACTTAATCTATTCTATAATTCCTTTAATCTTTTCTTCATTTTTATTGTACATTTCGTTTTGTAAATTATAAATATTTTAATTTTAGATCAATTTGGCTAATAATGAGATTGAACCGTTACCATCAGGTAAACATTACTAATCCGTCGTAAACCGGTTTCTTAGTTTTTTTCTCTCATAAAGGAACTGAGTTTTTGTCACAAACTAAAATGGTCAAATCCCAATATCATTTAAAATCTGGTGATGTAAACCCTTGATATTTCAAACTTAGATTATTTGTTCTAACAGATTCATTGTTTGAAATATCAGAGGATTAGAAAAGTAGAGTTTGTGACAAAAACTCAGTTCCTTTGGAAATAGAACTTTAAAATGATCAATTACATCAGTGGTAAATCTTATATTTTACGGAATCTTATGAATTCTAACTTTTATACGATGTTTGTGCAAACTGTCCTCAACGGATACAAGAAATTTTATACAGTGGTAGACTATTTTATCAATACAATGAAGACGACTTTCGATTTCAATATTGGTTAAAATCAAGCTGTTGAACAGCATCGATACACATAAAATATAGAAGTCAAGAGAATTTATCTATTAAAAAGCTCTTCTTTGATTACTTATAAACTTGAAATTCAAAAAATTGTAAACAATCAAAGCTTAGAATAGATAAGAAGTTGTCTTCATTGTATTGATATAACCGCTTACCACTGTAGTAAACACTGGCTTTCTAGCATTAAACCACCATACTGACTAGCTGTATCATTTTGGCAGTCCTTACAGAAAAATATGCCATTTTTTCTTTACAGAAACACCTGAAAGAAAAATTTGATTCAGATGGAATCATAATTATAATACAGTTTATTAATCATTCTACAAAGTTATTTTAGGGGAGTTAATTTAAATTTTTATTTGTTTAGCAATCCCTCATATTTCTCCTGAAAATATAAACCAACTGGTTCCTAATCCAGACTGGGTGGAGAGATACGCCTTCGAGGTGCAGGACAACCAACACCAGGAGAAGGTTTTTTATTAAAACTTAATTTTTTATCTTATTTTATATATACGATTACCCACAAAGAATCAGACAGGAAAGACAACTGGAAACAATTAAAATATGACGATTTCTAGGTTGAATTAAATCTTCTGCCTTGAATATAGTCTTTAAGGGCTTATTTAATGCCTTGGCAAAAAACAAAGCCTGTTTACAGTGGCAGGAAGTTATGAATATAAGGAAACAGACAGAGTAAATTTCGTCTCTGAAGTCTCATCCTTTCTCGGGGTTGTATTTTAAATATTTTACAATACTAAACTTGATTTCATTTTGTTGTGGGATAAAAAATAAATTCATAATTGACTGTCATTTTAGTCACAAAAATAATTTTTAAAAGCATATAAATCATTATGATAAAATCTATCATATGAATTCAAAAAACATATTTTAAGGAGGAGAGGAGTACGCTAGAAACCATTTTTCTTCAAGATTCGGGTAAATAAATATTATTTCTTATTTTTGAAAGGAAGAAAAATCTTAAAAATTCTTTTATTAATGTGATCATAGATAAATAAATATCTATGTTTGTGATCAATACTAAATACAGATGAAATACTGCATAAACACTTGATCTGAATAGTGTATGTTCAAAGAGTTATATTTTTAAGAAAATAAAGTGCTAGTTCCTTCCTTTAACAACTCTGTTTATATACCCAAGGTTAGTTTAAAAACGTAATTTTTTATTATTATTATTNTCGGAAGACCAACGTGAACAACATCAACAGCATCAACAACATCAGCAACAACAACAACAACAACATCAAAAACATCAACTATATCAACAACATCGATATAGGAGTAAAAGAGATTTAAGTTTGGAAGGTATTCTTTTTATGAAAGTTTAAATTATGCAGGTTTATTTTTGAAAACAAATCTAAATTTTTTTAAATATAAACCTTACACTTTTTGCGTAGATGAGATTCTGAGCTCCGATCTTCTGAACCTGTCCCAAGAAAGAATAGATAAAGACAAACTTACATATATCCAGCAGGTAGAAGTTTATTATTTTATTATATAATTGATTATACCATGTACCAACATTATGCAGACTTCAATAATATGCAAATCTTTACATCAAAAATAAAAAGGCACAATTAATATGCTCAGTGCTGAAAACTTTAGGATTGTGGATTTTTAGATAAAATTAAACTTCAGTTTGTTAAAAGAAAAGTGTATAAAATTCAACCCTGGCCTGGGTTCCGACCAATGAGAGTTCGCTTATTGATTGCGCGCAAAAAGAGGAGATCAAATATTGATCTTGACATTCATAAAACAAGAGTTTCAAGCTCAAAATAAACTTATATTGCTATCTACTTATTTATTTATTTATTTATTTATTTTGATTTAAAAGATCCAAAACAAATTGTTAATTTCTTAAATATTTTTCAAGCTTGGTGTATAGATTGTAAAAACATATTCTAACATTGTTAAATTTAATCAAACAAAATTTTGATGCTCTTGAATTTAAAGGAAAACTTTTTACGTTATTAAGATGCCTGAATAAGATAATCATGTTGAGATTTGTATATTTTTAATTGAACCTATATGCCTAGGTCAGCTAGGGGTGTAGAGCCCCTACAAGAACCATCTCCACATATAGAAGAACTACCAAGGTAAAGAATTCAAGTTTAATGTTTCAGGTGTAAAAGTAATTTCAAGTAACCCTCCATAGAACGAGGGGCAATTTTTGATTCAAGTCATGAAATAGTTATCAATCCTTTTTATAAAACCTGAGATGGAATTTAAAGAATTTGAGCCGCGGTTTAAATCCGCCAAAACCCGGTTTAAGTTTAGCGCCGGCTTAAATCTTGAAACATTTGATACAATTTTAAGTGGAACCAACCATATTTAAGCCGCGGCTTAAATTTAAACCACCGCTCAAATTCTTTAAATTCGGCCACTAATTATTTTCATTTTATTTCTTGCTTCAGATCAATGTCTGAATTATAAGAATTAAACACATTCCAAATTAGAAAAACTACGATATCTTCCACATTAATGATCAGGATCAGTTTTCCAGGTTACCTTTGTGAAATTGACATTGCCCTTCTTTAAATGGAAAGTTAAATGAAATGACAAGAGTTCCTTAAACACTAAATGTTTTAGGGGAAGGAGTTTAGCTGAGACAAGGTTTATAGATGAGGATACAAGGTTCCAAGACAGCTGGGTTGGGTAAATATTATTATAGTTATACAGACTAACCGGCTTGAACATTTTCCAAGGGGGTGGGGATAATTTAAACTGCTTTTTTTTAAAGTACAATTTGGTCATATTTATGTTAAAACCCAGATTAATGCATGAGTATAGGACGTAGCATGCAAGATGTAGCAATTACATAGTTTTTCTTAAATTTTTCTTATAAAAGAATAAGAGTTCCTGTTTTTAATAAAAATAATCATTGAAATCATAACAAATTTACTAATTCAATTTTGCGAAATTAAAAATATTTAAATTGCACAATAGACAATAGACATTCCTGTATAGTTTACATCGTACAGTATACATTCCTGTACAGTGTACATTGTACAGTATACATTTCTGTAAAGTGTACATTGTACAGTATATATTCCTGTACAGTGTACACTGTACAGTATGCATTCCTGTACAGTGTACATTGTACATTACACATTCCTGTACAGTGTACACTGTACAATATATATTCCTGTACAGTGTACACTGTACAGTATGCATTCCTGTACAGTGTACATTGTACAGTACACTTTCATGTACAGTGTACATTGTACAACTTTGATGCCAAATTTTTCTCTTTTTTTCTTCAAACTTGTAGAAAATCCAAAAAAATTTCAAATTGTTCGGAATAAATTGAAGAAAAGACAAAATCAATATTAAAACTTAAACTTACTGTTTTATTCATACATCTAATCCGTAGGAGACATAGAAACATACAAGAAGTAGAAAGAATGAAAAGGAATCATTTCTCGGAAGACCAACGTGAACAACATCAACAGCATCAACAACATCAGCAACAACAACAACAACAACATCAAAAACATCAACTATATCAACAACATCGATATAGGAGTAAAAGAGATTTAAGTTTGGAAGGTATTCTTTTTATGAAAGTTTAAATTATGCAGGTTTATTTTTGAAAACAAATCTAAATTTTTTTAAATATAAACCTTACACTTTTTGCGTAGATGAGATTCTGAGCTCCGATCTTCTGAACCTGTCCCAAGAAAGAATAGATAAAGACAAACTTACATATATCCAGCAGGTAGAAGTTTATTATTTTATTATATAATTGATTATACCATGTACCAACATTATGCAGACTTCAATAATATGCAAATCTTTACATCAAAAATAAAAAGGCACAATTAATATGCTCAGTGCTGAAAACTTTAGGATTGTGGATTTTTAGATAAAATTAAACTTCAGTTTGTTAAAAGAAAAGTGTATAAAATTCAACCCTGGCCTGGGTTCCGACCAATGAGAGTTCGCTTATTGATTGCGCGCAAAAAGAGGAGATCAAATATTGATCTTGACATTCATAAAACAAGAGTTTCAAGCTCAAAATAAACTTATATTGCTAAAAATGTAAACTATAAATATTAGAATGAGCTGACGAGAGAAAGACGACAATCCTCTGATCCTGATCAGCTTTGTCCGACAGTATCCCAGTATATCATGCCTAGAGCTGCAGTTAACTCAGAAGGTATATAACCACTATACAGAAGGTATATAACCACTATACAGAAGGTATATAACTACTATACAGAAGGTATATAACCACTATACAGAAGGTTTATAACCACTATAAATTTATCTAAAATTGAGACTTTTGCGACAAAAAAGTAATATATTTTAAAATCTCATGGAATTCAGGAATTAAGAAATGTAAAACATGAATCTATTGTTACATATACAGTGAGACCCATAAATCAGTGAAATATTATTACGACTGGTAAGCAATCATATGTGTGTATTTATTAATGTCAAAAAGCCAGAACATAAACTTATTAAGTAAAAAAGGTTTGTGTACATTGTACAATTGTCGAATGTATCATCTATCATGTTTCATGTTCATTGTATTTAAAATCATAACTTGAGTCTCACAGTGTTAAAGTGTTAGGTCTCACTACACTGTAGGAAGAAAAGATTAAATCGAGGAGATTTTAACGATCGAGAAGATTTATCATATTTTTAAATTCAATTGTTTAGGAGACTGGATGTACGTAGTAAATATGCCAGCAGAACCAGAATACCAACAGCTAGTTAGATCAGAGATATGCATGTAATTAATATTATTATTATTATCATTATTATTATTATTATTTGCCAGGTATATATTCTGGTTCCCATCCTGCTGTACTTGCCAGGTATATATTCTGGTTCCCATCCTGCTGTACTTGCCAGGTATATATTCTGGTTTCCATCCTGCTGTACTTAACAGGTATATATTCTGGTTCCCATCCTGCTGTACTTACCAGGTATATATTCTGGTTCCCATCCTGCTGTACTTAGCAGGTATATATTCTGGTTCCCATCCTGCTGTACTTAGCATGTATATATTCTGGTTTCCATCCTGCTGTACTTAGCATGTATATATTCTGGTTCCCATCCTGCTGTACTTAACAGGTATATATTCTGGTTCCCATCCTGCTGTACTTGCCAGGTATATGTTCTGGTAGACTTTAAAGGGACTGTAGGTGGAATTTTAAGTGACCCTTTATTCCGTTTTTTTATAGAAAAAATTAGGAAATTATGTTGTTTTTTCTACCAACAAATTGATAAGTCACAATTCTAATTTCTTTCTACAAAACGACGATATTTTGCTCATTGCTCATCAAATATATATATACTAACTGAAGGGCCCGGCCTTGCCCGTGAAAAAAAAAATTATATTTTTTTATCCTATAACACCCCTTGGCCACCCATGAGTGTTCACAAAAATTTTCAGCCCAATCAGTCCAGCCCTTTGGCCGGCTTTAGGCAACATAAATATATATATATATACGAATGTCTTGTCTATTAGATGCTAGCTGAAGGGCCCGGCGTTGCCCGTGAAAAAAAAAATGTTGAAAGAAAAAAAAATTTGGAATTTTTTTAGCCAATAACACCCCTGAGTGTACACAAAAAATGTTAGCCCAATCAGTCCAACCGTTTGGCCGGCTACGCAACATATGTATCATACGAATGTCAATTGTTTCATTATATATAGATAAATAACTCTTTAAATTGGAGGGCAGCTTGAAATTTCATGGACAGTCCCATTAAGAACGACATAAAAAATGTAAAATACGATAATACGAAGGTTATTATTGCGATAAATATATTTTTCTGTGGTACGTTGTATGGTAAGAAGAAATATATGAGGAAAAAACTGAATAAGTTCCGTACAGACTAAGGTTGTATAATAAGCCTGGAGATTATATACTTTATACTTTTAAATGCCATCAACTAATTTAATATCTGTTTTAAATGCCATCAACTAATTTAATATCTGTTTTAAATACCATCAACTAATTTAATATCTGTTTTAAATGCCATCAACTAATTTAATATCTGTTTTAAATGCCATCAACTAATTTAATATCTGTTTTAAATGCCATAAACTAATTTAATATCTATTTTAAATGCCATCAACTAATTTAATGTCTGTTTTTAATGCCATCAACTAATTTAATTTCTGGTTGAAATGCCATCAACTAATTTAATGTCTGTTTTTAATGCCATCAACTAATTTAATTTCTGTTTTAAATGCCATCAACTAATTCAATTTCTGTTTTAAATGCCATAAACTAACTTAATATCTGTTTTAAATGCCGTCAACTAATTCAATTTCTGGTTTAAATGCCATTAACTAATTCAATTTCTGTTTTAAATGCCATCAACTCATTCAATTTCTGGTTTAAATGCCATCAACTAATTTAACATCTGTTTTAAATGCCATAAACTAATTTAATTTATGTTTTAAATGTCATCAACTAATTTAATATCTGTTTTAAATGCCATCAACTAATTTAATATCTGTTTTGATGCCATAAACTAATTTAATATCTATTTTAAATGCCATCAACTAATTTAATATCTGTTTAAATGCCATAAACTAATTTAATTTCTGTTTTTAATGCCATGAACTAATTTAATTTCTGGTTGAAATGCCATCAACTAATTTAATGTCTGTTTTTAATGCCATCAACTAATTTAATTTCTGTTTTAAATGCCATCAACTAATTTAATTTATGTTTTAAATGTCATCAACTAATTTAATATCTATTTTAAATGCCATCAACTAATTTAATATCTGTTTTAAATGTCATCAACTAATTTAATTTCTGTTTTAAATGCCATCAACTAATTTAATTTATGTTTTAAATGCCATCAACTAATTCAATTTCTGTTTTAAATGCCATCAACTAACTTAATTTCTGTTTTAAATGCCATCAACTAATTTAATTTCTGTTTTAAATGCCATCAACTAATTTAATTTATGTTTTAAATGTCATCAACTAATTCAATTTCTGGTTTAGATACCGTTAACTAATTTAATTTCTGTTTTAAATGCCATCAACTAATCTAATTTAATCTTGTTTCGTATTTAAGGTTACCCAGACAAATTTGGAACTGTAAGGGATGCTCCACAAGCAAGACGACATTTAGAATAGTCGAAACATTCTTTCTGAATCTCTCAAACAATGACTGTGCAATATGTATTGTAAATAATTAACAATTTTCGTTTTTTCTTATACTTTTTGGGGTTTGTTGGTATTATATTTTAATGCAGTAAGATTTAATAACTAATGACTGCTTTTGCTATAAGTCGTCTTTAATCCAAAACCATAGATTTTATTTGTTACAACATTTATAGTGATAGTTTCAACCTCTTACTGCTACAGAAGAACCTATAAAACTGCGGGAAAGGAAGACAATATGTTAGCAATCTTATGCAATTAATGTTGTTACAAAGAAAATAGTTTTATTACAATATAAATCAACTAATAAAGTGAAATGGGTCTGTTTACAATGTACATATTCATTGGACTAAATGAAATCATATAACTGGAGTCTATCAGTCGTCTTCCTATTTGAAATCATATAACTATCAGTCGTCTTCCTATTTCACAGTTTTACTGGTCCCACTGTCCACTGCAGATATTGTTAGGAATTGAATTATTGCAGACACATCAGGAATTCTAATGGCAGACATTTTTATTTAATATTTATAATGTTTAGTCTTTTCATCTAGTCTCTCTCTCGCCTTAAACTGATTGTAAATAAAAAAATGAAAAAAATAAGAATAAATATATTTTTATTATATTATGTGATATGATTATCAATTACTGTTAGTTTATTTCTCGTGAAGATGAAATATTGAATAAGAAAGTTCAAATAAACAAAAGAAATAAACGACCCTTGCATTTTATATTAAAAGAGTTTGTGCCCTGCGAAGATAACTTAACGTATAAATTCTTAAATATAATCTGTGAATTAAAAAAATAATAAATATTGCAGTTTTTAAACACTTCCTGTTTTCTTCATATATCACAAGTTTAGAATATACCAAAAAGCAGGTCTTAATATTTCTATGTTTATTTGAACTCCAACTACGACATTTAAGTACTGTAGATGCTGTACAATCAGTTAACAATGTACGTAAATTATACAATTAAAATAATATTCAGTTGAAACTTGAAAAATAATTAAGGGAAGGGGGGCCATATTCGGTAACTTATGGAAAAAATACTTTTTTAACAAACATTCCCAGTGGAGAAATAATATCCTTAGGATGGGGGGGGG